AGCTGTGGGGCGACCGATCTGAATTCCGGATGCACATCCGGGCCCTAGAGCATACGGGGGATCAAGGGGGTTGAGTATGATCAATGATCCCGTCAAATAAAGACGGGAAGGGTTGGCAGTTTCAGCCATGCATCGGTCTGATCATAAAAAACATGGTAATGTTATGGTCGATCTCCTGCATCCTCTTCATCTTGACCTTTGGCGCCGGTCCGACCGTGGGGGAGTGAGGCACGGCATGGGTGGTGCACCTGCCTTGTCTATGCTATTGGCGCTCCTCTTTTCTCCTTTCCCCCTATCTGGGTGGCCAACACTTGATGGCTTTTTCGGTGTTTAGTTTTCCTTTTTCGTTTCACGCATCTGCTGCCGGCGGGTGCAACCTTTCGAATTCTTGTTGTAGTCATTTTCCTTTCGGGTTCACCATATGAATAAAACTTAATTTTTTTCATCATCTTTCTTTACTCCTTTACTATGTTTGCTCTTCGGACTGCATCAATTTACGTCTTTGGCGACTCTCATCGAACTTAGTTTTTCTTGATAAAGGCCTGACTCCTTAAGCTTGGGGGCGACAAACCGAAACATTCCCATCTCCCTTTTAACTAACTTCTAACGAGACATGCTTAGCATATCACGTCATGGTTTTCAGGGAAGGGGGGAGATACAAAGCGAGGCCCGTTGGAACCTTCTTGCCCCAGCTTCAGAGGCCGCACGAGATCTAAAGACTCCTCCGGCCATGACTGGCATCCTCACTTAATGGAAAGAGACCTTTTTCGGCCGGGCAACGCTCCTTGGCGTATGCCAAAGCTAGAGAATCCGACTAACGTCTTGAGCTTCACCAAAGGTCGGCCCTGTCCTCTTCAACACCTGCAAGGGGGCAAAGGTCTTGGGGTGGGTCAGCCCGAGATCAACCGTATTGGCGAACTGATTCTGGTTCCGGAGCAAGGGCCTCCTCTCTGCTCTACTTCGTCTTCTAGCTAGTTTCGCACGGAATCTTCTGGATGGCTATGTCTTCTTCAACTGTCACATTTTTCTCATTTTTTGTTTTACTATATCTTCTGTATTCACTTTCATTGAACAGATACAAAACAACGTTTTAGATTTTTTTTCCCCATTCTCAACTAGATTCTTATCATTTTGTCTCATATTTTACATTATTTTAAAAAAATTTTATTTAACTTTTAAGAGCTGACTGCGTCATCGTTTATGCCTAGAAAATAGACTCATTTCTTCATATTTTCTTTGTTTCCAATCAAACAGAAAATTATGCACTATTTGCTTCCATAACTTTTTTTTAAAATGGCTCACATCTTCATTCTCTACTGCATCGAACCTCAAACTGCCAGCATTATCTTAATATGAATTCTACTCTCGAGGACCTTCTTTTCGGTCATCCCTGATAACAACTTCACTCTCCAAACGTGATCAAACCTATCTTTATTATTTCATCACCTTTTAATACAAAATTTAAATGGTATATACAACTTATAAACTATTATAAACTGGCAAACTTTTACTAACAAATATAATATAATAGATTGTAAAATTAATATAGTCAACAAATCACAAATCCGTGCAATGCACAAAACTTCTCATAGTTATCTATCAATCAATTTTAATAAAGTAAGGTTTTTTTCAGAAGCAGCTCTGATATGTTGTCATGTGGCATTCCAGCCTTTTTTAAAAATATATTTATTTCGATTGAATTTTCTTTCATCAAACAGACACAAAAACAATGCTTTTTTTTTCCTTTCTCCAAACGATTGTCTTTCATCCAACAAACATAAACAAAAATCAAATCACTCAATAGAATCTTATATAATATAGTAAAATCATATGTCATTTTTTCTCTTCTTTTTTATATTTATATTATATTCTCTTTTATCGAACAAACACAAAATAATGCTTCAATTTTTTTTATTCTTCTGAACACTATTCTCTTTCATTACGTCTCTTACTTCACATTATTTTAAATTTTTTTCTAACTTTTAAGAGCTGACTGTGATATTATTTTTGTGCGAAAAACAGATTTATTTCTTTTTATTTTCTTTATGGCCACTCGAAAATAAAATTATGCATTGTTTGCTTTCGTAGATCAAACCTCATTTTCTTTTATAAAATATAGTAAGTTTTATTTTTTTATAAACAATTCTGATATGCTATCACATCTCATCTTATAAACTGACATGTATCACTTTTCCTCCTTTTTTAATTATCTATGTTGAATTCTCTTTTATTGAACAAGCACAAAAACAAAGCTTCAATTTTTTTTGTCTTCGATAAACGATTGTTTTTTCATCCAAAAAATAGAAACAAAATAAAATTACTCAAATAAATCTTATATAATATAATAAGATCATGTGTCACTTTTTATCCTTTTCTTTTCTTCTCAACACTATTTTCTTTCATTATGTCTCTTACTTCATATTATATAAGAAGATGTTTTTTAACTTTTAAGAGCTGGCTGTGATATTGTTTCATCGCATAAAAGTAAATTCATTTCTTTATATTTTCTTTGTGGCCAACCGGATAAAAAATCATGTATTATTTGCTATTGTAAAAAAATAATTTTTTTTCTTTTCTACAAACAATTGTCTTTTATCTAACAAACAGAAACGAAAGTTAAATCACTCAACAAATATTTTATAATATAGTAAGACTGTGTGTCACGTTTTCTCTTTTTTTTTCTTCTTCTTAACACTATTCTCTTTCATTATGTCTCTAACTTTACATCATTTAAAAAGATTTTTTAAAAGTTTTAAGAGGTGACTGCGATATTGTTTCATCACAAAAAGAAACAGATTCACTTTTTTATGTTATTTTGTGGCCAATTGAATAAAATTTCATGCATTATTTGCTTTTATGAAAGAAAAAAAAATTAGATTAATGCTTCATTCATTTCTTTCCTACTCCATCCTCAAACCGCCACCACCCACCACTATCACAATCTAGATTTTACTCTCTAGGACATTCATTCCAATCATCTTTGCGTGCTTCGTGGGAACAATGGTGGTTTTAATTCTCTAACAAGACCAAACCTTATTCTCTGTGGATATTATTATTCCACCAATCCTTTAATACAAATATTATAAAATATAGTACTGTTTTTTTTATCATAAACATATATTATATGTTGTCACGTGTCATCTTAGAAATTGACATGTATCATTTCTTTTCCTACTAGATTTTCTTTCATCACACTAACACAAAACCAAAGCTTTTGATTTTGTTTTCCTTCACAAAATAATTCTTTTTATCCAATAAAAATAAACAAAAATCAAACCATCCAACAAAGTACAAAGCTTATATAATATAGTAACGTCAACTGTCATATCTTTTTTTCCTAAATCTCATGTATTCTCTTTCGTCGAACAAATACAAAAAACATTACAGATTTTTTTCCTTCTCTACACTATTGTTTTTTATTATGTCTCTTACTTCACATTATTTAAAAAGTTTTTTTAACTTTTAATAGCTGATTGTGACATTGTTTTAAAGAAAACTAAATACAATCCACACAAAAAAAAAACCAGAACTGCAACATAGATTCTACAAAAATCAACAAATAGCAAGAACAATCTATCTATCTATTCTAATAAAGTAACAGTTTTTTTTTCAAAAACAGTTCTGATATTCTGCCATGTGGCATCTAAGAAACCACATGTGTCATTTTTTTTAACTATATTTATTGAATTCTCTTTTATCAAACAGACACAAAAACAAATTTTAATTTTTTTCCTTCCATCCAACAAACAAAATTTATATAATATAGTAAGGAAATGTGTTACTTTTTCTCTTTTTTCCTTCTACATTTAGAAAAAAACCTGGTAAAAAAAAGAGAATAATAATTATAATTACACTAAATAAAAATAATAAAGAGAACTAAATACAATCTACCCAAAAATAAAATAAAACTGCAGTATAGATTCTACCAAAATCAGCAGGAACAATACAACAATATACAAACACAACTCACTTTTATTACCAAATAAAATTCGAATATAATACATATCATATGCATTACATTATTAGAGATTTTACTTCACTCATCAACGGGAAACAAACTCTGTCTCAAAATCACACATCCACTCCATAATAATAGATCATCAACTATATATTCCTTTTTAGCACTAATCAAATACTATAAGCAAATAATACCTTCAAAGATGTGAATAACTATATAATGAATAATGTTTCAAAGTCTTTTTTAAAATTGAAGATTTCAATCCAAATGCATTAAGAAGACTAGATGTTTATTTTGTAATTAGAAACTTCAAGAAAACACAAACACAAGCTACACAAGAAAAATAAGATAATGTACTATATGTCTTGATAACACAAATTGTTTGGGGGGGGGGGGGGGGGGGGGGGGGGGGTGGGTTTGTCCCCCTAATAATAGATCATCAACTACATAATCCTCTTTAGCAGTTATCAAATACTATAAGCAAATAATACCTTCAAAAATGTGAATAACTTTATAATGAGTAATGTTTCAAAGTTTTTTTTTTAAATTGAAGATTTCAACCCAAATGCATTAAGACTAGATGTTTATTTTGTAATTTGAGACTTAAAAAAACATAAACACAAGCTACACACACAAAAATAAGATAATTGTACTATATATCTTGATAACACAAATTGTTGGGGGTGGGGGGTTGGGGGTTGGGGAGAGGGGTCGCACTCTCATTGCCCCCCTAACTAAGCCGGTCCTGCTAACATCCACAAATTGTTTTTATCTAATTGTGGTGAGTATGTTGCATCGTCATCGACATATTTCGTTGAATCATAATGTACTCTATAGTGTGTATATAAATGAAGTTCCTCATCCACTATAAGAGACCATCCCAAGTTATTGCATTTAAACATTTAATCAAACTTCAAATTTCCTAATGGTTTCAATAAGCTTACTTGAAACTTTTGTAGCCATTTTTTGTTTAACTACCTTATGTTTCTTCCTCTTCAAGAAACCTCGTGAAAGCTTCATTAGAAACTGGCCAATACTCGGGATGCTTCCCGGCTTGCTCGTGGAGTTTCATCACATCTATGACTTTAGCGTGGAGATTCTCCGGAACTCTAACTTGACGTTTACATTCAAGGGCCCCTGGTGTTGTGGGATGGATATGTTGTTCACGGTTGATCAATCAAACATTCGTCATATAATGAGCTCAAACTTCGCCAACTACACCAAAGGTCCCGAATTCAAAGAAATATTTGATGTTCTTGGAGAAGGGATACTCACCGCAGACTCGGAGCTATGGAAGAATCTAAGGAAAGCTTCTAAAGTCATGTTCAGCCACCAGGGGTTTCGAAGGTTCTCAATGAGTACTACAAGAAGAAAACTCAAGGGCGGGCTTGTTCCTCTTCTCAATCATTTCGCAGAGGAAGGAGCGGTTTTGGACTTGCAAGATGTGTTCCTGAGGTTCACATCTGACACAACCCTAGTGACAGTAACTGGTTCTGCCGATCCTAGATCTCTCTCCATTGAAATGCAAGAGGTTGATGAGTTCGCTAAAGCTCTCAACGATGTAGCAGAAGGGGTTATGTATAGGCATGTTAAGCCTAGGTTCTTGTGGAAGCTGCAAAGATGGTTTGGATTCGGACAAGAGAAGAAGTTGTCCAAAGCTGACGCCACTTTGAAACGAATGTGTGCAAAGTTTATATCAGCAAAGAGAGAAGAGATCACAAGTCATAATTTCAATGGAGAAGCTGAGGATCTTTTGACATACCACATGAAGCTAGATGCAACCAAGTACGAACTCTTGAACCCGAGTGATGATAAGTTTCTAAGAGACACCATGTTAGCTCTCATTCTAGCAGGGAGAGACACCACTGGCTCTGCTCTCACTTGGTTCTTTTGGCTTTTGTCTGAAAACCCTCAAGTTGTCAGTAAGATTCGCCAACAGATCAACACAAGTTTACCTAATGATGAGTCCATGCAGTTCTTGAACAAACTTGTGTACTTGCATGGCGCATTGTATGAAGCAATGAGACTTTACCCTCCGGTTCCATTCGAGCGTATGTCTCCCATAAACCAAGATGTGCTTCCAAGTGGGCACAAAGTGGACGCTAGTATGAAAATTGTGATCTTTATTTACGCTTTGGGGAGGATGGAAGCAGTATGGGGACAAGATGCGTTGGAATTTAAGCCTGAGAGATGGGTTTCAAAGACAGGAAGGTTGATAGAAGAGCCTTCTCACAAGTTCTTTACGTTTAATGCGGGCCCAAGATCTTGTCTAGGTAAGCACTTAGCCATGAGTTTAATGAAAACAGTGGTTGTAGAGATATTACAAAACTATGACTTTAAAGTTGTCCAAGGCCAAAAGATTGAACCAGCTCCTGGTCCTATTCTTAGAATGAAGCATGGTCTTCGAGTCACACTTACTAAAAGATTTTCTGATTGCATCAAACCGGATAGCGTCGAACCGGAGCAGGATACCTTAAACGGAAGATACTTGGATTAGTTAACTAATGTCAAGGTCTAAAGTTATATATATATTTTTTAATGTGTTTCTTGTTTGTTTCTTGCAATGTTTTGAAATCTTTTACCGTAATATCTATAGGATCACTGGGTTTTTGGATTTATTTGGGCTGATTTAGGTCAACTACAGATTAACTAATTATTAAAATTTTATATAATATACATATTATATAGTTTTAAAAATAGGAGAATAGATTTAAATATAAAAGCCATAACATAAACTATTCAAATTATTAAATATAAAAAATATAATAAAAATTGTTCAAAATATAATACAAGTAGATGAAATAAATTCAATGTTGATACAAATTACAAACTTTAAAATTCGATAAAAGTCACAAAGTAACAAAACCCTATAATTTAATTAGAGATTATTTATATCAAAAAGAATTTTTTTTATAAACAAAATAAAATTGCTGGTTTAACCGAAATAACGGGTCACTAGGTTACAGATTACTAGCAGATTTTTCTGGATTTTGTCGGATTAATAAATTTTAAATTTTAAAAGTAAAATCGACTCAAATGAATAACCGGATCCCGGTTTAACCGGGTGAACCGGTCGGGTCGGGTTTCAAAATATTATCACTTTCTTGTTAATAATTGGGACTTGGTCTTATATGGTTTAGGTGCACCAGTCCCAATTTTCCCAAATTGTCATGTTTGTATGGATCGTAATATTCCAAGTCTCTTCCACTTTTCCAAAATTGTCATGTTTGTATGGATCGTAACATTCCAAGTCTTTGTACCTGCTTTAACATTAACATAGGAAAAAAAAAATGAAATGAAAAAAAAAGTCTTCATCTGCCAATTAAAACTCTTGAAGGGTACAAAATCTATAATTAGTGGGACATCTATCATCTTCTTCTTAAAAATAAATGCTGAACAGAATTTAAGATTTATATTGCTCATGCAAAATCATAGGCTAAGAAGAATAAGAAAACATACCAACTTATCAGTTGACTATTGGTCTAGTGGAAGCTTCTAACCTTTAAAACTCTTTATTGTGCAAATGACAGAAAATCTGAGTAATTTCGAAAGGTTCTACTAGAACTAGTACAGATATGATACATTTTCATTAAAAGAAAAAAAACAAGTATCCTAACTTCTAAAGAAAACCACCATAAGATACTACATTTGATCAAAAGTTTAAATTTCCGTACGTGCTACCGCAAGTAAACATGTGATGATATTGTATTTCTAGATTTATCAACAGTTTCGATGAAATATAATATCAAAACTTATGAGTATTAGCTATCTTAGCATGTATTAAAATATATATCATTAATGAGAGTGAGTTGTAATCCAACTTGGAAACACTTGACAAATTTTAGTCATAAAATAAGATTATAAGCTAAAGAATTTTAGTGGCTTATATGCCATTTTTAAACAAAGAAAGGAAGATCTTTATCTCACTCATCTTCAAGCACACTCCCATCTCCACACCACCAGGCTCATATCTCCTCTCTGACATAGAGAATGCTTCGTTGCGGTCAATGGACACAAACTCGGTTTCAACGGGTCTTCCCCACCCAAAATCCAACCCGTGTACTCCTAACTGGGTCGAACCTGAAACTGTCCCGATCTGTGCACCCTGTTTTATTTTATTCCTTCCCTCGACGTAGGCCTCAAGGTGTGACTCTATCCCTTGTGAATCCAATCTTTTCACCAAATCGCTTAGAATCTCGACTGCTTTAACAAAACCATCTTCTTCCAAAAATGCCCTCGCTTCGTAGCCAAAGCAACCTGTCGGAAACACGCCATTCCCAAAGTATGTGGCTAGAACTTGCGGATTAAACCAATGCCTGAAGTCAGCTACATAGAATAAATATACTGGTCTGTTCGCGTGGCCTCCATGCGCTCTCACCAGGCACGTCCATGCGTAAGCATACCCGATGACAAAGGTTGACAAGTGAAGCTCGAGGAGAGAGCGAGGTGAGTCTTTCTTGGCTCGCTCTCGGAGTTTCTCTATGTTCTCCGGAGTGAACTCAATCGTGACACGGACAACCGCTTAACTGATCCGCGGGAGGTGGCTTTAAGCTTCTTAAGTTGTCGATGTCCTTCGAGAGATACAACAAAAATTCCATCATCTTTGCCTCAAGTCTACGTGGAACATTGATAACGGTACAATCAAAACTCGGAGTTAGATCTTCTGGTATAAGAGGAGATTCCATGGCTTTGTCATAATGTACTTATAGGCGGCAAATATGAGCCCATGATTTAAGAAACATTGTCGATGTTTTACCGTCTAGGATAGAGTGGTGCGATGTGATGCCGATGCAGAAGCCTTGGTTCGGAAATAATGTGACTTTCAGAAAAAGCACAGCCACTGAGTCATGATCATCGGAAACCATTAACTCGAGTACCAGAGGATGTAACTCGGTGGCCGGACGTAGTCCGTTGCCGGAATACAGAGGAGAAGTCTGCAGTGGTCTTTATGATGGTGAGCGAGACTGTGTCATACTTCGAGATGACGATGCACGGTTTTGGATCTTGTGGGTCCCACTTGAGGCGGTGGGCGAGTGGGAGGTAAAGGCGGAGGACAAGGGAGTGAGAGAGCTCGACCTTTGGGAGGATGAGAGTGTGGAATAACTCGGGTGATGACTCAGTGAGTTTGTAGAAAATAACTGGCTGATTAGGATGGAATTTTATTGGGCTATTTCGGTCAGATGTATATCGATATTACAATTGTAATTAGTTTAGCATACAAATTATGTAACTATATATAAGGCTACGCTTCATGAACAGTGGCGGAGCCAGAATTATTTTTTAGTGGGGTTAAATTTTTTTTTTGATGTAGTTTATAAATTACTGAAAATAGGAATAAATATAAAAATTATATAATAAAAAATTTAAAAACAAAGAGACAGTTTTTAAAAAACTGATCACCAATATATTTTTGTATCATTTATTTATGAAGTTTTTTTTCCAATAATCTATCCATTAATTATTTTGTGAAAGTAACAAACTAAAAAATAAAAGTATTTGAATATATTATAAAGAAACTTTAATATTTATGAGTTAAATCATATCATATCTATTTTGATTAGAAAAAAAAAACATAATCTAAACAGACTAAAATAAATTACAAAAATATTAAAAGAAAATTAACTTGAACAAGTGAATACATGAGATGTTTTAGTTTTTTGATAGACAATGAAAAATTAAAAATATAAAAACACATGTAAAAAACTTTAATGATGAAAGGGACGAATTTGTTGAGTTTTTTTTTCTGTTTTAATGTTTTATTAGCTAATAATTAATTAAATTTATAAAAATGATGAATTATTTTTGTAAAGTGGGCTTACATTAAAATTAAGCCCAAATTGAAGATATAATTTCATGTTTTTTCTTTTTTGTTTATGGGATCAATTAAGAAAATTTAATGGGGTTATAAACTATTTTAACCAAAAAAATAGAAAAACTTTTTAATTAGGTGAGGTCAGCTGACCCCTCTTTCATCTTACTGGCTCCGCCTCTGCTCATAAACATGATCAATAAGAATCCTCTGTGACAACTCTAAAGGCTTTTTGACATGATAGCAGAGCTCTAACCTAACTGCAAAAAGGTTTTTGCTTTCGATTTTGTTATCTCAATTCCGCTACGAGATCTCTCTCTCTTTTCATTCTATCATTTATTAACCTTGACTTCGTTGATCTGTTCTCGACGAATTTCTCTTTACAATGACCACTATTGAATCTTTTGTTTCTTTTTCAACTTCAAGTCATAGTGAATCGCGTCGTACCATCTCTCTGTACGATCTCAACTCAGGTGATAATCCTGGTATTCTCATCTTCAAGCCTTTGTTGCATTGTCCAAACTACGATGAGTGGGCTACCAATCTGAAATTAGCTTTGGATGCAAGGAAGAAATTTGGATTTGCTGATGGTACTATACCGCAACCAGATGAAACTTCAGATGATTGTGAAGATTGGGTTACTAATAACGCTCTTGTGGTTTCATGGATGAAGCTCACAATTGACGAGAAGCTTTCCATATCCATGTCTCATATCGATGACTCCCATGAACTTTGAACACACATTCAGAAACGATTTAGCGTGAAGAATGAACAACGTGTTCAGCGTCTTAAAACAGACTTGGCAAATTGTCGTCAAAAAGGTCTTGCCATCGAGGCATATTTCGGCAAATTGATTCAACTATGGAGAAGCTTGTCTGATTTTCAACAAACCAAAACGATGGAAGAGGTGCGCAAGAAATGAAAGGAAGACAAATTTTATCAATTTTTTATGGGCTTAGACGAAACAGAGTATGGCCCCGTGAAGTCTGCACTTCTCTCTCGCATCCATTTGCCTTCCCTTGAAGATGCATACAATACTTTGACCTAGGATGAGGAATCAAAGTCACTTGGGTCGGATGAACAGCGAAAACACTGATGGTGTTAGCTTTTCTGTCCAGACAGAACAACGATCCCAAAACTACAACAATCATGGTGGTGGTGGTTCTGTCACATGTACTCATTGTGGCCATATCCACCATGGTTGGAGGATAAGTCTCGACAAAATCAGGAAATCAGAACAATCGTGGGAATACAGCTCATGGAGGAGCTGGTCAGAGTTCAAATACTACTTATGTGGGTTTGACGAAATCCTCTTCTGCTCATGCCCATCTTGTCTCCATGGAGTCATTGACAGCTGCAGATCTTATTGGTATCAGCGGCTTAAATGATGCACAGTGAAAGACACTGGTTCATATGCTTGAAGAGCTCAAACACATTCCCTCCGCTCAACGCTCTGATATGTATCTTCTTGAATCCTGGATTATAGATACACGAGCTTCAAATCACGTGATTGGTACTCTTAATTCTTTGTCAATATTTCAAATATGGCACATGTGACAATTAAGCTTCCTGATGGGCGCTTCACTACTTCCACAAAGCATGGCTCTGTTCATTTGACCTCTTCTTTGACTCTTCAGGATGTTTATTTAGTCGACGAACTTCAGTGTCATCTTATCTCTGTGTCTCAGTTGACACGAGACAAAGATTGTGTGTTTCATATCTCTGACAAGTTTTGTGTTGTCCAGGGTCGCATCACGAAGATGCTGATTGAAGTGGGTAAACAACAAAACAGACATTATTTTTTCGAGGATTGGAGGTTGCTGCTGTGGATTGATATCTGGCATCATCGTCTCGGCCATCCTTCCTCTAAAGCATTAGAGTTTTTGAAGCTTTCTGATTTTTGTTATTCTGGTTTTGATTCATAGACATGTGATATTTGTATTCGTGCCAAGCAGACACGAGACATCTTCCCTTTGAATATTAATAAAACAAGTTTTGCTTTTAAATTAGTGCATTGTGACATCTGGGGTCCCTATCGAACTACTGCATTGTGTGGCTCTTGTTATTTCTTAACCATATTTGATGATTATTCATGCGCGGTATGGATTTATCTCCTTCCAAACAAAACTGAAGCACCAAAGAACTCAATAAACTTTTTGGCACTTGTTGAATGACAACTTGTTACAAAAGTCAAGACAATTCGAAGTGATAGTGGATCAGAGTCATCTGTCTGACCAAACTTTTTGCAGAAAAAGGGATAGTACATGAAACATCATGTGTTGGTATGCCTCAGCAAAACGGTCGTATTGAGCGTAAACACAAACATATTCTCAATGTTGCTAGAGCTCTTCGGTTTCAAGCCCATCTCCTGGTCGAGTTTTGGGGATAATGCACTCTCGCTACAGGTTATCTGATTAACCGCACTCCCACTTCGCTTCTTCACGAAAAAACACCATATGATATCATTTACAATTGTCCTCCTCCAATGAGTCATATCCGTGTTTTCGGTAGTCTTTGCTATGTTCACAATCAACAGTATGGCGGAGATACATTTGCATCTCGTAGTCATCGCTCTGTTTTTGTTGGCTACCCGTTTGGAAAAAAGGGGTTGTCTACAATTTGGATACTGGAATTGTCTCTGTGTCTCGAGACGTTATCTTCAATGAACCTGTGTTTCCGTTGCAGCTCCTATTTCATCTTCTTCATCTCCATCAGCATCATTTTCTCCACCTCCTATACATGGCTCCAAGGAAGATCTCGATGTTATGGGAGATATATTGCCAATCACAACAAGTGAGTCGCATGAACCTATTTTCCTTGTTTCATCCTGCACTTGTTTCCCCTGTTTCTCTGATTTCTCCTGTTTCACCGGCTTCTCCTATTACAGAGGCGGATGTCAGCTCTTCACCTCTGTCCCCTGCTATTGAAAGTCTGACTGCGTTGTCATCAGCCTCGTCATATTCTTCTGCTGAGAGCTCGGACGTATCAGATTCTGATGATGATGATGAGCCTCTTGACGATGATATCGCCGACCTCAAAGCTCACGATGAGTGTCTCGGTCGTGGTCATAGAAAGAAAGAATGTTCTGTAAGATTGGCTGAATACGTTACTACTTTGTTTCATCAACTTTATCCTTCTGCGACACCATATCCTTTGGATAATGACCTCTCTAGCTCCCAGTTCTCTGTGAATTATCAGGTGTATGTAATGGCTTTGACTACCGGATTTGAGCCACAACACTATAAAGACGTTGTACTTGATGCGAATTGGTGGGATGCAGTTAAGGATGAAATCATTGCTTGTGAGGATAGTGGTACATGGACGATTGAAACGTTACCACCAGGGAAGAAAGCTCTCAGATGTAAGTGGGTGTTCAGGTTGAAATACAATGCCGATGGCACTATTGCTCGTCATAAAGCACGTTTAGTTGTCCTTGGCAATCAATAGACTGAAGGTGTCGATTTTACTGAAACATTCGCTCTGGTTGCTAAGTGGGTCACTATCTGTGCCTTCCTTCAACAAGTTGCCTCTTACGACTGGGAGGTTCATTAGATGGATGTTCATAATTCCTTTCTTCATGGAAGACCACGATGAAGAAGTATATATGTAATTGCCACCGGGGTTCCGCACAGATTATAAAACAAAGGTTTGTCGTCTGTACAAGACTCTTTACGGTTCGAAACAAGCACCACAGTGCTGGTTTGTAAAGCTTGGTGCTGCTTTGAAAGACTACGGTCTTGATCATAATTGTTCTGACTACTCAATCTTTACATCCGTGAGAAGAGGCACTATTCTTCACGTCCTTGTCTACGTTGATGATCTGATCATCACAGGAAATATTATCGCGGTTATTTCTGAATTTAAGCGCTATCTCAACACTTAATTTCATATGAAGGATCTTGGCGTATTAAGATACTTCTTGGGGATTGAAGTTGCTCGCAATCCAACATGGATTTATCTGTGCCAACGTAAGTATGCGCTGGACATCATCACTGAAACAGGACAGCTTGGTGTTAAACCGGTTTCTTTCCCTCTCGAACAGAACCACAAACTCATGCTTGCCACCGGTAATTCTTGCTCAGCTCCGACACAATGCTGCCGTTTCATTGGTAAGCTCGTATACCTTGTACTACTCGCCCTGAGATGTCCTATGTTATCACATCTTGTCTCAATTTATAAGTGATCCGAAACAAGAGCATTGTGATGCTGCTTTACGAGTGGTTCGTTACTTAAAGAATAGTCCTGGCCAAGGTATTTTACTTCTTGCTGATTTGAAACTTGTTCTCAATGCTTGGTGCGATTCTGATTAGGCAGCATGTCCGTTGACTCAGCGTTCTCTTATCGGCTGGTTTATTCGATTGGGTGATTCATCTTTGTCCTGGAAAATGAAAAATCATGATGTTATCTCTTGTTCCTCTACTGAAGCAGAATATCGGGCTATGGC